TTCCAACAGCATGAGGTGGGGGCCGAATTCTCCAGATAATTTTTAATATTATTATTGTTGTTGATTTACTTTGCCTGATAACTATTATTACCATTTATACTTTCGAAGTAGCTTTGCTTTTTAGATTATACTATAAAAGCATATCACTTAATTATGCTATATAAAAACGCTGTAAGAATGTACAATATATTGACATGTGCTGACAACACCAAATTTACAAGTACAAAGCCACACTGCCAAAATAGTATGATTCTCAAGTTAAACTCAATTTTTAAAACAGAGACTGAAATACTTGCATATGAAGATAATCAATGTATATGCCTATAGGACTCATGTTGACATTAAGACTATGTCAAAGATATCAATCTTGATATTGTTTTCTGTTGTACTAATATATACTATATTGGTACAGAGAGAGAGGGGCTTTGATATAAAACAGTCAGTTAAGACAGTATATTAAATTTAAACTCCACAGAAATAAGGCTACTATATGTTTGAATGCATACATAAATAAAATTTTTTCTTTAAATAAAAGTTCTAATCAGTTAACATCCTTAGTGATAATAATCTCATGTTGCAAACAGCACAGCACCCTCTGGTGCATCTTTCCCACAAAAAAAGGATGGAATCAGAGTAAAAACGAACCTTAGAAATCAATAGGTTGATACTCCTTTATTTGCTCCAGTACATATTTTTAAACATTAATGCTCAAAAACAATTTTCATTTAAAAAGAGAACTAAAACTTTATATAGTAACAATTGAAGTAGGTCAGGAAAATGTTTTAGTTTGAAAATATATAAAACAATAAACCAACAAAAACAATACCAGTTTCCAATATTTAACATTCAAATTAACATAATGCTGCCCCAAAAAAGTTCTTTTAAGTATGGGATGGCAAAAGTTAACTTGTCATATTAACCAAATTTCACTTTACTCAAATCTGCCTTGGCTTTTTGCTTCAGATAAATTTGATTAAATTATCAAGTGCTCCTGAGTACTTTTCTGGATTCAAAGGGAATTTATCATTACTTTTAAGAATTCTTAAGGCGTTCTGTGAAAGGATCTGCAACTTATACAGCTTGAAAATAGAATGATATTCAGAAATAAAAGTTATGTTAATTAAATTTACAAACTTTAATTTGAATTGTCCCTAGGAAAATAATTAACTCCAAAAGTATATTTTACTAAGGACAAAAGCAAAGGAAGCCACCTGCTTTAGATAGCCCTTTTGTGAACCACTGGAAGTCCCAACACAATGCACTAGAAATGAAAGTGACACCTGTTTACAGCAGCCATCTGTCCCTAACAAGCCAGATTTAGTCAAATCCACTTAATCTTGGATTTCCAAAATACGGGAACACTATGCACCTGTGAACAGAAGGAATTTAAAATCTGTCTTGTGATGGCCACTGGGAATCTATACCAGAGAGTTGGCAAATGATTCCATTAGAGAAACTAAGTATTTATTTTTAAAGTAACTGGAAGTAGAGGATTTTTAGCCAAATGCTCAGAGTAAAAACAAAACAACAAGAACAAAAAACTAGCAAACTCTCCATAATTTAAAGGTTAACTTCTTTGAAGACTCTTCATTATTTAAAAGTTTACTTCTTCGGTATTCTCATTTCTTATAACATATTCTCACTATAGATACCAAGAACAAAGAAACATTCCTATTAGACTGTTCAGGAAAGTTTTGTTTTGTTTTTTTAACTCTTTCCACACATCTGATATTCACCCTTTTAAACACACAAACACTCAAAATTTGAAAAGCAAAATCATACTCCATCTACCGATTTCTTCAGTTGGAAGTTCAGAGGAAACACACACAACATCAACTTTCTCAAGAATTATGAAACACGTTACTAAAAAGTAACACATGCCATTTAAATAATATATTGAATCTATCTTGATTTATGATTCATTCATTTTTTAATTGCTAATTTTTTAATGGTAAAAAATTTACCACATTAAATTTGTTTAGGATAAAAAAATTTGTTTAGGGTTAAAGTATATTAAACTTATAAACTATAAACCTTTTATTTGAGGACCTCAGTAGAGTACAAGACTATTTGAATACTGGAGAAATAATACATTATTTTTAAAATTAGGCATAACTATCTCATATAATGAAAACATTGTGGAATGATGTATTTTAGGAATGCATTTAGTTTACTATATTACACATGTAAATGTACTAAATAAATATGCCTAAACCATTTAATGCTATTCATAGGCAAAACAATCTAAAAAGATTGAGACAGACAGTATGACATACAACAAATCACAGATATTCAGCTACTCAAAACAAATTACAAGTGACTCCTATTTAATAGTTTTAGTTTTAAAGCGTGGTCACTTTCACAGATTTTCGTTAGTCTGAAAACTGAGGAGACACGAGAACAGCAATATATAATACAGTCCCTCCTAGGAAAAATAACACAGAAAGAATAAACTAACTGCTAAGTATTTATCCTTGTGTTAAATTTTAAAATTTATCATTTGTTAGTATTTCTGGTTATTATTTACTCAATCCATATGAAAAATGTTGACATACTTAAGCCCAAAGCATCTCTAACAGCAACTTTTTTTTTTTTTAAAGATTTTATTTATTCATTTTTTTCCCCCCAAAGCCCCAGTAGATAGTTGTATGTCATAGGTTCACATCCTTCTAGTTAACAGCAACTTTTATACCACATGTGTGCTTTTAAAAATGGATAAGCTGCAGAATTCAATTTAAGTTCTGTTCTCAAATCAACTTGTGAATTAAAATCTAAATTATAGAAAACCTGAGATGGTTGTAATGAGTGAAATGCCTCAGAAAAGTTCTCGGGCACTGCAAATAAAAATATTAAACCATAACATTATAGCATATAATCTACTCCACTGAAAACCTATTATGTAAATGGCATAAGGTCTGAAACTGTCTCAAGACAGCAAAACTCCTATTAACTTCAGAGAGAGTTTTTAGGACCCAGGAGCTTCACCATCCAAAAGTGTTCAGGCATTTGACACTCATCTGAACAGAAAAAAAAAATACAAGTTAGTATTAGAGATCTGCATGGAACCCAGGCTGGGGAGGGGATGAATAAATCTAAAGAAATTTGAGTGCTCTGAGAAAGATTTCTTTCAGAACAAAATATCATCCTCATTTAAAGTAGCAATCACAAGGAAATGAATTGAAAGAGTAAAAGTCTTTTAACCCCCAACTCTTATTTTACAAAATATTAGCCTTAATAGCATTACAATTACCCAACCTGCTCACTGACAATCTCAAGAATAATTAAAACTGTCACATTATTCACAGGCTGCTCTGTCAGGTAAATCAATATATGTTCGCTGTTAGAAAGAAGACTTTAAATAAGTATTTTAAAATGCCAAATTGGAAACTTCAATATGTGCAAATATAAGAGTACATTATATTTGTTTTAGTGCTCATTATCAAAACTCTTTACTGATAATCTATTAATTAAACGTTCAGCTAAAAAATGAACAAATTTACAGGATCTGTAATATTGGGTTACCTCTACCAAGAGCTCTACCACTTGAGGACCGATAAGTATTCAAATCTACAGAGAAAAATAGATTTTTAAAAGACTTAAAAGCTCTCTCCTCAGCAGGTTTAAGCCACTGTTCAAAAAAGTAAAATAAATAAAAATAAATTTAAAAAAGTAAATAAGAAAGAATACGTTAAGTACACACATGCCGAGATCTTAACAACCACAAAGAAAGTGAAATATACACACGTTTCAAGTTGAGAAGCTTCATACATTCTTTATGAACAACTTGACTTCAATTTCAACTCTCAAAGGAAAACGAACAGAGAGGATGAAGAAAAAAGAAAGAAACTCTTTTAAGTACCGTAACTGTCACAAATAACATTGTAAACTGAGTTCTCACAAAGCTTCATTATGTCCTTTCCCTGCTTATCACACACAAAGTCTCATAACCGCAATGAAAATTGTTAACACTCCACTGTTGGGAAGGAGGTTCATCAAAGTGAAATGGAACCTCACTGGTACCCCTCCCACCTCCACATGAAGGATAAAGCACTGTCAATAACTACTAACCCAAGTATCACAGATGCCCTGCATCCGGTTTAAATCACAAGCGCGCGCACAGACACGCACGCACACACACCAAAAAAGAGAGAGAGAAGACAGCGACTTTAAAAAAAAAATCTCTTTGCCAGCGCAGCAAAGAGCCCAGCGAAGAGGCCCCCGGTTTCAATGTGTGTGCAAGGGGTGTGGGGGGAGAAGTAAGGGGGGCAGGGAAGAGTGCTGAATGGATATTAAGACTGTTTGCAGCACAAAGAAAACACAGTTTTAAAAGAAAAAAAAAAAAACCATGCCGCTGATGATGAGCAGCCCATGTAGCACAAGCCAAAGAGGGGCAAAAATGAAGGGGAGAGGCGGTGGGAAAAGTTCACCGTTGCAGGAGGATAAAAATAACAAAACCCTTCACAAGGCCCCACAAGTGAACAACAGCAACAACAACAACAAAACATCACCTCTTGGGTTCCCCCCTGCACACTGTTGTCTATTTCGGTTTTGAAAGAAGCAGGAAACAAGCAGCTTTGGAAAAGAAGAAAATGAAAGAAAGAAAGGGAAAAAACCCTTCTCTCTTCACCTGACCCTTCCTTCTCAGACCAGACCTAGGGGAGAGCTTCACCATCCGCATCGGCAAACTGTGGCTCCCTCTCCCGCTCGTCTCGGAGCCCTCCGAGCTCCCGCTCCATCCCTGCAGCGCGGCCGCCGAGGGCCGGGGCCGGCGGGCGGGCGGCGCGGCGCCCACACCCCCGACCCAGCCGCGGCGCGCACGGTCCATTGTAAACAAGCCCGGGGGACGGAGCCCCTCGGCAGCTGCGCCGCAGCGGCAGCCCCCGGTGTCAGGAGTGAGACCCCCGCACAGCCACACTCGGCTCGCACACACGGACACACACACGCACGGACACACGCATTCACACGCTCCCACACACATGTAGAGACCGAAGAATATTCACCTTGGCTGTGGATTATTGTGGTGTTGTTGGTGGGTGATGGAGATGGTGGTGGTGGGGAGGAGGAGGAGGAAGAGGAGGAGGAGGAGGAGAGGAGTAGTTGTTGTTGATGGGTAACAGTCGCCAGGACTACGGTGACTATGGCGCTTGATTCACAAGGCAACGGTTGCTATAACTCACAAAAGAGAGAGAGAGGGAGAGAGAGAGAGAGAGCGAGAGGCAGAGAGAGACACTCGCACGGGGAGGGGGGAGGGAAGAGGGGAGGAGGCGGGCCCGGCGAGCCGCCGGAAGGGGCGGGCCCAGCGCCGTGACTGACAGCACCCGAACCCGGGCTTGGGGGCGCGAGGCCGGGGTTCCGAGGAAGGGCTCTGAAGAGACGCGCTTAGGTTTGGGAGGGTTGAGGTGACCCGAGAGTCGTCTCGGAGGCACGCTAGTACAAGCGCTGGCCAGGCTGGAGGGCTTGTTCAGGGGCGTGTGCGAAGGATACTTTCTGTGAAACGCGAGCTGCCAGTCCCAGCAGCCAGCTTTGTGCAAAGAAGGCCTAGAGCTGCGAGAGGGTAACTGCTAATCCGGGGGAGGGGTGGCTGAGGACGATTCCAGACACTTTGTAGGGAGACGAGCTGCAGCCAAAGAAGAATCTACTTTGAAAAGCGGCTTCTGCCCCTCCCACCACAGTCTAAAACGTCATTTCCGGGGCGGGGCGGCGGAGGGTCCCGGATGTGCCGCTGCTCTCTCGGTCATTCTGTTTTTTTTCTTTTCTCCTCTTTTTTTTTCCCCCCCCCCCCCCTCTTTTCTGAGGCGCTGGAGGTGTTCTCAGTGGCATCCGCCTGCTGGCTTAGAGTATGCCTGGGCACTCCGGGGCGCCTGGACCCGCGCTGGACTGGAGAGTCCGAGCCGCCTTCGCCCTCCGGCTTTCCGCGCTCCAACCCGCTCTCGCCTCCCGAGGCCACGATCTGGAGGAGCGCGGGCGGCGGGGCGTGAGCCGCTGCCTCCGCCGCCATCTTGGAGCCGGCGAGCCCGGGCTGCTGGTGGGCAGCGCGCCGGCCTGCCGCCGTCCCGGGGCGCAGAGGGCAAGGTCGGAGCTCCCGCGGTCTTCATTCCAGAGCGGAGAGGCGCGGGACCCACTCCCCACCCACAGGGCGGGGAGTAAGTGCTAAGAAGAAGCGAGAATTTGCCCTCGCCGGAGGATGAGAAAACACATGGCGGTCCCGTTCCGCGAAAGGCGTTGAGGGTTGGGGTAACTTACACCTGCCGGGGATAGCACCCCGTTAGTTTCTAGTTCCTCGTTATCTTCAGCCCTTCAGTAAAGGGCTCGTCCCTCTTTGAAGTTGACCGAACCGCGATTTGAGCTCAACCCACTATCCTATGACTTGCCCTGCCCTCGGCCGGGTTACTTGACAACCCGCTGTATCTCAGGGTCTTGCTGTTTCTGGCTGTATTGAGATAGACGAATGGCTTCCGTCCGTGATGCACGTTGTTAGCACACAACCCGGTGTGTGCTCGAACACCCGTTGGGATTGCACAGCCTCTAATACCTCACATTTCTAACATACCCGTCCAGTTCTCTGCAGACGAGAGTCCTACAGGCACATGCCCCTGGGCCCTGCCAATACCCCAAACCTCCAACACAGGCAGCTAAGCTGCTTATCCAAGACAATAACGTTAGATGTAGAGCCTTAGGAAGTCAGTTCTCCTCTTGAGGCTTAATCTTTGCACCTGCAAAGTAAGGGATTTGGGCCGACATAAATTCACAGTGCTGAAATAATAATAGCGACCATTACTGAGCTCTTATACAGCCCCAGACGTTGTGTTTAGTGTTTTACATACATTATCTCATTTAATCCTCATAACACCACTATTAGGTACAAAATATTCTCATTTTAGGGAAAACAGGCGCTGAGTCTTAAAAATCAGTGGTTTTATATTACGGCTCTGTGTCATGGAATATTAGATAAGGGTATTTTAGGAACGAACTATTTAAACAATAGATTTAAGAAAGTAATGTTGTTGCCCATGGTAATCTCATAATGAGTTATAGAGGTTCTGATGATAATGTATGACAATGTAATAGTGAACAGTGGTGAGTACGGTGCTCAAGCTAAAAGGTTCTATGACCCACCATGTAGAAGGCCTTTCTAGTCTGAGACAAATGACAATGTGGTGAACAACAACAGTTAAACTCTTCAGATTTACAATAATTTCGACATACATGTGGGAAAGATACACAGCACTCCAGCTGTATGAAAACTGGTAGTCATTATGAATATTCGTTTATTACATTTACGGATAAAGTCCTCTATTCCTATAACAGTGTGCGGGGCTGTTTGCTCACACTACACAGCTCTGAATAGCTTTTCTTTTTTAGTTCTATTGTCTGTTATAGTTTGCTTGTCCCTTCCCTCACTGTCAGCTGTTGCTTCTTCCTGCCGTCAGTGAACATAGCTCTGTTATCCTCCCCACCCTTTTTATCTATTGCTTTTAATCTGCAGGCGAGAAAACCACATAATGAAGCTTGTGCAAAACTGTGTCTCAAGAGTGAAAATCGGTACTTTGAGGAACTCTCCTTTAGAAAAAGTGTGTGACCTTTGTGCGAGGGCGTTGTAACATCAGTTTTCAGCCACTTAAAGACGACATTTTTTTTTTTTACCTACTTCCTGATTTGATCTTTTCCTGAATTAGGAATAGATATATTTCTTTAAGTGAGTTCTTTAGGATTTAGAATATTTTTCCGTGTTCTAGGACAATTGATGGTATGACTTCTAACCATATTGAAGTTACTATAATATGAAATTGTCAATATTACCACCACACTGAATCCAATAACCAGACTACCAATTCAAGCTATCTATTTGGAAACATCCTGGATTATATATGCATGTATTATTTTGTGCTATAACTAGTTATGAAAGGACCCAGAAATCCTTTTGCCTATAGTCAGTTCTGATAGGATCTCCTTTTTGGTCATTTTTAAGCTGCATAGTTGCCTCTTCACATATGTTGTACATATATTTCAGAAATAAATTATTTGTTAAGAAGTCACAGGGCCGGCCCCGTGGCTTAGTGGTTAAGTGCACGGGCTCCGCTGCTGGCGGCTCGGGTTCGGATCCCGGGCGCGCACCGACGCACCGATTCTCTGGCCATGCTGAGGCCGCGTCCCACATACAGCAACTAGAAGGATGTGCAGCTATGACATACAACTATCTACTGGGGCTTTGGGGGGAAAATAAATAAATAAATAAATAAAATCTTTAAAAAAAAAGAAGTCACAGAAAAGATCCAGCAGTGTCTAACATTTATTACCTGTTACCCTGCAGTACACACTGGGCTCAATGAGAAAAGGTACCTAACCAAAAAATTTTTACATTCCTTGAAAAATTCAATAAACTGTCGATGCAATAATTATTTGTTGAGTACCTGATATGGGCCAAACATAGTTCCTCTCTGTTAAATGCTCAAAGTCAATACCTACGAATTTTAAATGTTGTGTCCTTTGAACTTGGATTGTTTTTGCTCTCAGCTTGGAGTGATTGGCAGAGACATCGATTAACACATTTGTATCTGAACCACTTGAAAAGTATGAAGCCCTGATTATTTATGTATGATTATATACTTCATCAGTTACTTTAGTACCTTCTTAAGGGTAAATTTCCTTTTCAATATTATCTGTTAGGTTATTTCCTCCTATTGATATCTACTGCATATTCAAGAACTAAAAAATTACTTCAACATTAATGCTTGTAAAAGGAAAAGCTGTATGTGAAAAGATAAAATACAGATATGTGATAGGTTTACTTTTGAAAAATTGTATTTATGAGAGTTTTGAAAATGTATCAGTCTGTGGCAGCTTACCACTGAATTTGTGGTGCATCCTTTTATAAAGCAGAAATCACACCTGTTTAAAAATGTTTCACTTGATTATAATATCCAATTTTCTTCAATTGAGAGACAACTAGAGTCTTAGTTCTCATATGTGAAATGAATGGTTTCATTTCAGCCAGTGTTTATTGAGTACTTATATGCAGAGCACTGGGGAATTAGACTACTGGATTACTAATTACCTTTACTAGATCTGAAATTCTGTGGATATATGCTAATTATCAATAATGATAGAGAGTGATAGAGGCCGAGGTAATTCAAAACTGTACATAGTTTGCCACTGTTCTCGGGAGCACTCCCAGCTCTACCCATCCCCGCTCAAAGTATATTTTGGTTTTTAAAATATTGCAATATTTTTTTTTCTGTTAGATTTGTCTTTCTAATTTTGTTCTCTTTAAGTAATTCAAACCAACTGTTTACTTGGCAGTCCTGAGGTATGTCCATCCTTATATATAACCTGGAATTCAATTTTTACTCCCAGCACAGAAAGATGGTAATTAAATCATAAATTATTTTTTCTCAAGACCAAATTATTTTTTGATATACACATGTAGATTTTTCCCTTCATTGAATACAGAACGTCAAATACAATATTTGCATCATTAAAACCAAATAATTGGAAACAACCCAAATATCTGTCAGTAGCAAGATGGAAAAACAAATTGTGATACATTTGTACAAAACTTGTACAATTTGTACTATTGAGCAATTCAAAGGAACTAATGATACACACTATAACATAGATGAATCTCAAAAGAAGCCAGACACAAACAGTACGTACCATCTGAATCCACTTATGTAAAGTCTAAGAACTGGAAAAACTCATCTGTATTTAAGTGTTTCCCTGTGATGGCAGGGCAATGAGGTGGGATTTACTAGCAAGGAGCATGAGGGAACTGTGTAGGGTGATGGAAATGTTCTGCACCATCCAACTGGATAGCCACTAGCTGCATGTGGCTATTAAAATCTAATTGTAAATTAATTAAAATTAAATGAAATTTAAAATTCAGTTCTACAGTCAAACTAGCTACGTTTTAAGTGCTCAGTAGCCGCATGTGGCTAGTGGCTACCAGATTGGACAGTGCAAATACAGAACATTTCGATTACTGTGCACGTTCTGCTAGAGAGCAGTCTAGATCTTCTTTTAGGTAGTATTTACATGTGTGTTTACAACTGTCAAAATTGTAATACAATGCACATTATATATACATTATATGTCAATAGTACCTGCCCCAAACCCCAGAAATCACTAATGCAAGTATTTATTATTGTATTACCTACCTAATTAACCCACTTTTTCCTGTTTTCATTGAACACTGCAGAGAAAAGGATAAATACGAGGTAGTAAAAGTATCCCTGGCAAATTTTCAATGATGTGT